ACGCCGAGTCGACGAGACCATGCTTGACGTGTTTCCCCCGTCCTTCCGAGACTGAGGTGCACGCCCAGAGCTTGTGGAACAGCGTGTCGGGCTGGAGCCCACACCTTGGACGGAGAGATGGGACCCCAGTTGTTGCGTCAAGAGGGACCAGCTCCACTGCACCGAATCGCCTCCTGATTGGTGCCGCGATTCCCGTCGCCAGCAGCGCGTTCTGGGGCCGAATTTTGCATAGCAGATCCATCGCCAGGTGGGGAGGAGGAAGCGAGAGCGGCACCACCGCTCTCCACAGGAGGTGGGGGCATCCCCGCGTGCAAATCACCAGCCACAAGCCGAGCGAACGCCTGCCACTCAAGCTGGAAGGAGAGAGGCACGCGTTCCGAATGCTTGCTGGGAATATGTGCCTGATGCCCATCATTTTCAGGGCTCTAAAACTAGGCGGGGGTTAAGGTGCGACCTTGCGACCTGGAACCATTCTAAATGTGACATGCGACCGGTCCACGGATGCAAGCAAGCTGACGTTGCGGTCCGAGAGCCCTTCGACATCGTGGCAGCAGCATGAGACACGAACGATTGGCACCCTTCCTGGCAGATGTGCCACTGCTCCTACTGCCGCGAGGGATGAGGATGATGAGGAGGATGCGGAGGAGGAGAAGGAGGATGAGGAGGAGAAGTACAAGGACGAGGAGGAGGAGGAGGAGGAGGAGGAGGAGGAGGAGGAGGAGGAGGATGAGGGGGAGGAGGAGAAGGAGAGGAGGAGGAGTAGGAGTAGGAGTTGCGGGAGTAGGAGGAGGGCTATTGGGCTTTTGGAGCCTTAGATGAAATCCTTCGCGTCCAGCGACCCAACTACAATAGGAGGAGGAGGAGCAGCAGCAGCAGGAGCAGGAGCAGCAGCAGTAGGAGGAGGAGTGGAGGGGGGGGGAGGGGGAGGCGGGGAGGTGGAGAGGATGAGGAGGAGGAGGAGGACGAGGAGGAGAAGGACGCGGAGGAGGAGGAGGAGGGAGGGGGAGGAGGAGGAGGAGGAGGAGGAGGAGGAGGGAGGACGCGGGGAGGAGGAGGAGGAAGACGAGGAGGGATGAGGAGGAGGAGGGGCGGGGGACGCCGAGGGAGCGAGAAGGAGGTGAGGAGAAGGAGAGGACGAGGACGAGGACGAGGCAGGGGGGGAGGAGAGGAGGAGGAGGAGGAGGAGGAGGAGGAGGAGGAGGAGGGGAGGAGGAGGGGGGAGGATGGGGAGGGGGAGGCGGGTTTGGGGAGGGGAAGGGGAATCTATAGAGAGAGAGAGGGGGAGAGGGATTGGCAGGAAAGGGCCGAGGAGTTGGACGAGGAGGACGAAGAAGAGGAGGAGGAGGAGGAGGAGGAGGAGGAGGGGGAAGACACGGCCGAGGAGGGGGAGAAGAAGGAGGAGGACGACGACACGGACGAGGAGGACGATGACGAGCAAAAGGGTCTCGATGTTCTTCCCAGGACATGTGGAGGCGCTCTCGTTGCGTATCCCGCGAGGGGACCCGAGAGGCGTCCCCGAGAGCCTCAGGAGCCGACGAAGATGACCAGAAGATGCTCCCAAAATGGCCGAGAAGAGCCCGAGCAATCCTCCAGAAGGGGTACAATCAGCACCCCAGAGAGCCTAGAAGCAATCCCTCGAAACAACGGGTTCAGCACTACGGTCAGAAGCTCTGGCGCTCAACGTGTCGTTCCGCCAGCTCTGGCAACGCGACACGCTGTCCATCGGGGGCAGCGATCGGGGGTGATAGGCATAGGGGGGGATGCATCGACCCTCGATCGCCCACTGATCGCCGATAGGGGCCCGATGGCCCCAACCTGCCCAGGAAGGTGCGGATTCGCTATCGAAGGCCTATCGCCGATCTATCGGCGAGGTATCGCCGAGGCCAGGTCGATGCATCCCCCCCTATGCCAGTCCCCCCCTGTCGTTGCCCCTCAATCCGTTTACTGGCCCACAGGCGTCAACGTCCCGAGCTCTTCTTCGCCTCCCGCCCCGCTGGGCGAAGCAACGCGCTCTCCGCTTGCAGGGCACAGCGTGTCGCTCGGGCCGCCGCCGCGACACGCGCTGTGCCAAAGTTCTGGCCGTGTTCGTGATCGGACGTGTTGTTCCCGTCGTGGCGGTCTGGGCGAGCGTCCAGAGGCCAAGACCCCAAGATCAAACAAAAAATTCAAAGAGGCCAGGGCCCCAAGAAAGCCCAAGCGAGGCCCCACGAGGCCCTCCAGAAGGCCACGAGGGCGCCCCGGGACGGCCCCGAGACACAATTAATCGTCAAATTCCCCCGGAAAAAAGCGAAAATATGGGGAATCCTGTTATCTGGGTGTATTTATTGTGTGTGTGTGTGTGTCCTGGGCCCCCTTCAAGGATAGCCCCCAGGGGCCCCAAAGGGGCCTCCAAGAGGCCCCGGCAGCGCCCCAGGGGAAGGCCCAAGAAGCCTCCGAGGAGGGCGCGGCCCTCCCGAGGGCCGAAGGCAGCCAGAACGGCCGGAGCAGGCCCCGAGCGTTGCCCCCGAGGGCCCAGGATGCCTTGCAAGAGGCCGCCAGAGGGGCCCCAAGTAGGGGCTCCAGACGCCCCAGGGGGTGGTCCAGAGGCCATCGCTCGTTTATCTTCCCCTCCCCTCTTCCTTACGTCTCCCTCTCTCCCTCCTCCCTCCCTGTTCCTTTTCTTATGCCCTCCTCTCGTTCTGTGTCAAGATATTGTGTCCATCCTTGCTCTTACCCCCCTGTGTCCTCCATTTCCTCCCTTTCCTTTCTTCTCTACCCTCATTTCCTCTCCCTGCTCGTCTGTTTTGCACTGCTTCCTCCTTCTCCTTTCTTGCTCTTCTCCACCTTCAGTCGTTCTCCCCGCTCGTCTGTGCTCCCCTCCTCGTTTCCTTCAGTCCTCCTTGCTCCCATTCTGAGGAAGGAGGAGGAAGAGGAAGTGCAAGAGGCCCGCCCGCATTCGTATTCTGGCGAGTGGAGTCTTTGGTTGTAGTGCTGCGCCTTGCGGTAGGCCGTACCCATGCCAGGGCTTCCGGCAGGGCACCGTAGCTTCGCTCGACGTCGTTCCTACATGATCTTGCTCCTATATACTTCCTGCGTCCCCGGCAAATCTCCCACGTTCTACTCCCATCCTCCTCTCTCGGTTCATTCCTGCTTTATGCACATCCTCCTCATCCTCCTCCTCCGCCTCCTCCTCCTTCTCCTCCGCCTCCTCCTCCTCCGCCTCCTCCTCCTTCCTGGTCACGCCTCCCTCCCTGCCCCTCCCTTCTCCCCACACCTCTCTCCTCCCTTCCCACCCTTCCCTCCCCTGGTTAGGGTGGCGGCGGGAGGGCGGAGGAGGAGGAGCGGGGATGAGGCGCGAGTGGGAAGAAGGCGAGGCTGCTAAGGGGGCTAAGCGGAAGGAGGAGGTCGGATAGCGCGAATGATCAGATGTTGGGATGGAGGACAGGGGCGGTATGAACAGGGGGCGATAAGGAAGAAGGACGAGGAGGAAGAGAAGGAATAGGACAAGCGCGAGAAGAAAGAAGGGAAGAGGGAGGAGAAGGAGGGAGTCTGCGGGGGGCGGAGGAGGAGGAGGAAGGAACAAGGATGACGATTAACGAGAAAGAGGCGTGACAAATGAGGCAAATTGGGGAGCAGGAGTGACGCAGGAGGCTGAGCGGATGATGAAAACGGGCGAATGAAGAGGAGGAGGAGGAGGAGGAGGAGTTGAGGAGACGCATGGGGAGGAATGACAGGAATGAAGCAGGAGATAGATTGGCAGGGGACACGCGCAGATGACGTGTGTTCACAAAGAGGATGTTGAGGATGAAGATCTGAAGGCACGCGGATGACGACGATGAGGGAGGGTGACGGCCGAGTGAGGAGCGAGGAGGGGGCGGATAAGAAGGAGCGACGCGGGCAGGGGGGGGAGCTGGGAGGAGGAGAGAGAAGGAGGAGATGAAGGATGGGGAAGGATGAGGAAAGGGGAGTAGGAGGAGGAGGAGGAGGAGGAGGAGGAGGAGGAGGAAGGAAGAGGGAGGAGGAGAGAGAGGGAGAGAGAGAGATAACGAGAAAGGAGGGACGCGGGAGGATGAGGGAGGAGGAGGAGGAGGGGAGTGGGAGGGGGGGGGCACAGGGGAGGGAGGGAGGGATGGAGGAGATGGAGGAGGAGGAGGAGGAGAATGAGGAGGAGAAGGAGGAGGAGGAGGAGAAGGAGGAGGAGGAGGAAGAGGAGGAGGAGGAGGAGGAGAAGGAGGAGGAGGAGGAGGAGCAAGAGGATGAGAGGGAGGAGGAGAAGGAGGACGAGGGAGAAGGGATGATACAGGACGTACGAGGGAGGAGCGAGAAGGGATGAGCGAACATGTCATTAAAAGGCAGAAGGGCAGGAGGGAGGAGGCAGGGGGCAGGAAGGGAGGAGATGGAGGAGGTAGGAAAAGGAGAGAGCGAGGGAAGAGGGGGAGACGGAGTGCCCATCTCTTCATCCTTCCCCTCTCCTCTCTCTCATTTTCTGATCCGCTTCTGTCGTGTTAACTCCCTCCCTCGCTTCTTCCGCGTTAATCCCAGGCGAATCCTTCTTCCTTCCGACTTCCCTCTCCATTCTTCCTCCATTATCCCTTCTATCTTCTCCTCGATGTTGCCCTCATCCTACCTCTCTCTTCGTGTTGATCCTCTCTCTTACACTCTCTCTCTCTCTCTCTCTTCCACCCTTCTCTACTCATCCTCCTGTTCGTTTTGGTCCTGCCTCCTTCTGCGTTGTATCTAACTCGGTATCCTCCTATCCACCCCCCGCCCCCCGTGCTGTGGTTAATATGCCCCTCTCCCCTCTTCACCCCCTCCCTTCTATCCCCCTCCAAAGCCATCCCTTTTGTTTTTGTCCCACCTTCCCGCTTCCCTTACCGACCCCTCATGATCCTGCTCGTTCTCCGTCGTCCCTCATCAGCCCCCCTCCCCGCTTATCCTCCTCTTCCTCTCTTTGAGTGCGCAGCTGTTTTCGCTCAAGTCCCGCTGGAGAATAGTTCCCGCGGGGCCAACCTCCAGGGGCGATGCCCCGGTCGGACTACATGGACTTCGACGCCAAGGGCTGCAATCTGTCCGACTCCCGGGAGATGTTCCTGAAGCTGCGAGGACACAAGGGGGAGGACGAGGACGAGGACAAAGAGGAGGAGGAGGAGGAGGAGGAGGAGGAGGAGGAGGAGGAGGAGGAGGAGGAGGAGGAGGGGTTCGAGGATGAGGATGAGGACGAAGACGAGAACGAGGAGGAGGACGAGAAGGAGCACGAGGAAAGGGAAGAGGAGGAAGAGGAGGAGGGAAGGATGAGGAGGGTAGGAGGACGAGGAGGAGGAGGAGGAGGAGGAGGAGGAGGAGAAGAAGGAGGAGAAGGAGGAAGGGGAGGACGGGGGGAGATGTTCCTGAAGCTGCGAGGCGCCAGCCGCGGGCGAGCCGACCGACGCCGGAGCCGCAGCCGCAGCCGCAGCGGCAAGAAGAAGAAGAAGGAGAAGGAGAAGAAGAAAAAGAAGAGCACGAGGATCCCCAGATCCAATGTTGGGCCTCGGGCTGCGCACAGATGGCCCCCCCAGGTAGCCCTGGCGGGCCTCGGTAGGCACCCCCAGGTAGACCCAGCTGGCGTCGACAGGCCTCCTGAGTAGCCCAGGGCGGTCTCTCCGCCTCCGGCGGCGCCCCTGGGGCGCCCCAGGGTTCGGGGGGCCTGTTGAGGCCAGCTGGGATCATTCGGGAGGCCTCTTGAGGCCAGGGCTGTACGTGCGCAGCCCGAGGCCTTACCACCCGACGTCGCGAAAGCAAAAAAAAACTACAACACCGCGTGAAACATCACAACCGGAGCCCTGGGCCCCACGTTCCTGCGGCATTCTTCCAGCCGGATCGATCTGTGATGGCCCCTGGGCCCGAAACCGGGCGGAAGCCCCTTGTGTGGAGGCGCAGCAGCAGCAGCGGCGCCGCCGCCGCCGACGCCGCGAGCACCGACAGCCGCGTGCGGAGGATCCGGAGCCGCACCAAGGCCGGCCGCGGCGGCAGCTCCGCGCCCCCCGCGGCGGCCGCCTCCGCCTCCGCGGCCGCCGCCGCCGCCGCCGCCGCGGGCGCCGCCGCGGGGAGGCCCCGGGCCGCCGTCGCCTCGGCCGCGGCCACGAAAACATCGACTCTTTGGGTCCAGCGACTGACCCCCGCGGCGCCGCGCCGTTCTCGAGCGCCCTGGCCACCCCGGCGGCGGCTCTCGAGGCTCCTGGCGCGGCGGCCCCCGCTCGCGCGGGTCGCTATGCGCAGCGGCCGCGGCTCGCGGGCGCGCGCCCGCACCGGCCTCGCCGCACGGCTGGGGGCCGCCCGGGCGCGGGCGCCCCGTCTGGCCGAGCCGAGCGACGCGCCGCGGCCGCCACATCTGTCCTCCGGCTCACTCCTGGCGTTCCTTCTCGCCTCCTCCCCTCCTCCTCCCTCCTCCGCCTCCCCAATATCCCTTCCTCCCCACCCCTCCACCTCCTCCTCCTCCTCCTCCTCCTCCTCCTCCTGCCCGCTCTGCATCGCTTCCCCAGTCCCTCCTTTCTCCTCCTTCGTATTCGTCCCCGATCCTCCCTCGCCTGTTCTCATCCGCCTCTCGCTCCTCGGCGTTCCTCCTCGCCTCCTCCGCCTCCTCCTCCTCCTCCGCCTCCTCCTCCTCCTCCTCCTCCTCCTCCTCCTCCTCCTGCCCGCTCTGCATCGCTTCCCCAGTCCCTCCTTTCTCCTCCTTCGTATTCGTCCCCGATCCTCCCTCGCCTGTTCTGTTCCGCATCAGTCTCCCTTCTCCTTCTCCCCCTCTCCCTCCTCATCATCATCCTCCTTGCGCCTTCTCCTCCCCCACCCTCCTCCATCCTCTCCTCCCTCCGACCTCATGGGAGGATCAGGGATGAGCGTGAAGAGTAGGAGGAGGAATTTGGAGAGATGAAACACGTAAGATTGGGGCGATCGCACCATATCTGACACCCAAACCCTCCCACCCATCCCTTCACATTGCGCTGAATAAGCTTGTGTCTGTGGGTTGTCGAGGACCCCGATTCCCCCAAATGACTATCGGTTTAGGCGCAATACGTTGGAGAAGGAGATGTCGATGAGCATGAGAATCAGCACGAAGAAGAGGATGAGGAAGGAGGAGGATGCGCATCAGGCTAAGCAGCAGCAGGAGCAGGAGAAGAAGGATGATCAGCGGAGGAGGGATGCGGCACATGGATCGGACGCAGAAATGTGGCCAGTGCTGTAGCGAGAGCGCCATTCTGAACGACGGGAGCAAAGCACCGATCCTGCAACGTTGCCATCGCTACAGGTGGTACTCATGTCTTACAGGACCGAGGACCTTCTGACACATATGTATGTATATATATATATATATATATATATGTATAAGCACGTATATGCATATGTATACGTCTCATGGCCTTGGGTCCATCCCGCCACCGTGCTTGGGTTGTGGGTATGAGCCGATTGGATGTTTTCTGGGATCTCATGAGAGGTCTCTCTGGGGCCTCTTGGAGACAGTTTTGAAGCCTATGTAAGAGGCCTCTTGGGCTTCTTGGGTGGCAGACGGCTCGGATGTTCGGTTTGTGTTCCCTCTCTTGGGCCCCTTTGGGTTCCGTCTTGGGCGCATCTTGGGCCGTCTGTGGGCCCTCTTGGGCAGTTTTGGGGGCCTTCTTGGAGACCTCTTGGGACGATCTTAGGGGCCTCGTAGGCCGTCTGCGAGCGCAGGGAAACCGACAAGGCGAAAGCCAACAACTCTTAAGAACCAACAGAACAATAGTTTGCGCCTCTTGGGGCGTCTTGGAGGCCTCTTGGACCGACTGGGGGCCATCTTGAGCGTCTTGGAGCGAGCTCGGCGACTCGGGGCCCTCCTGGACCGTCTGCAGGGCCTCTCGGCGCCCTCTTGGCCAGTCTTGGGGCTTTTCGTGGGCCCGAGGAAGTCGCACGCCACCGCTTCCCAAAGCCCAGGGGGCACGCGGGAAGCCCTGGGAAATGCTGGAGATCGGGGTTCGGGCCCCTAGAAAATTCTTTGGGACTGAGGACTGGAGCTCGGGGCATTTGGCAAAGGACCTGAGAACACGCCCACTCCGTGCCCCGCGGCACGGTGGCGGATAAAGCATGAAAGTCTGAAATCTGGTGTGAGGGAACGGTGCGTGAGTGAGGTGGGGACACGCGCGCGTTGTCAGGGAAAGATTCGGGCCGTGTGCATGCCTAGGTGTGATCGCGCCACATGTGTCATCCTACCCCTCCCACTCATCCCTTCCCATCGTTTGCATTATTATGGTTCCGCCAATTGGGATTTCCTAAAGGACATTGATGCTCGAATTGCTGTTGCAGGATTTGACCCATCAGTTGCCGAGTAATCGGCATGGGGGGTGCTCGTAAATGGAGGAGCCTGAGGAAGAGGAGGAGCAGGAGGCTGATGATTAGGAGGACCAGACAGAAGGAGGAGGAGGAGGAGGAGGAGGAGCAGGAGGAAGAGGAGGAGGAGGAGGAGGAGGAGGAGCAATCACAGCAGGAGGAACAAACGCAGGGGCAGGAGGAGCAGGAGGATCAGCAGAGGACTGGGGCAAGGGAAAGGAGAGAGCGGCAACGACGGGGACGGAATCGGACCCATGAGTGTGGCACGCGCTGGAGCGAAAGCGCTCTTCTCATCGACGGGGGCAAGAGATCCTGAATGTGGCCAGCACTGCAGCTGGAACTGCATGCTCTGGTAAGGGATGAGAGCTGTCCAACGTCGAGGCCATTTCGCACAGCGAAGACCCAAACCTTGTACGGCTGCGGGCAGGGCAGGATACAGTCAAGAAGCTGATACAGGGACCGCTTTGGCCTCAAGAGGGGCTCGGGTTTTCGGGCCGTTCCCTAGATCTATGTCGTGGAATTTGTTTGTGGCCTAGGCCCGCCGTGGCCGCCTAAGGCCCTTCGTTCCTTATTATGCGTTTCTTATGGCACAGTCAAGTCGCATAGGAAGGATGGGCAACTTTCCAGGGCCACCCTCGAAGCTCTGCCCCTTCGACCCATCCCTGGCGACTTTCGCTGGCCAGTCCCGCTCGAAAACGCCAGTATGGCCCTCCAAGGCCCTTGCAGCCTTACCGCGCATCCTTCTTATGCGTCTTGACTGTGGCACGAGGACTGGGTGGTGTCAGAATGGGGGCGGGGGCACCGCTGCATCGACGCCTACTGAAGCCCCAGGTTGGGGCCACGGTCTTCGGTCCTCGGGACGGATGTGTTGATACTGGGGCGGTGGTGGGCGCCGACGTACGGCACCACCGCCCCCCATTTCGGCGCACCCCTCAGGAGGATCGTGGCCCCAACGGGAGATGCACCTGCGGTTTCGGTTGGCGACCACGAATGATTCCGCCGCCCCCATGTCACGAGGATCGTGGCCCCATCGGGAGCCGCACCTGCGGCCTCAGTCAGTGCGCACCGACGCCTTGCACCATAGGGAGCTCCACCTACGGTCTCGGTGGGTGCCGACGCATGGCGGACTTGTTTTTT